TTCCCCCAATGGCGCCTCGCTCGCGAATATACAGGGCTGGGTTTCTTGCGAAGGTTTCTTGCTGCCGCGTCCGCGCTGTATGGTCCTGCGATCGGGTCCTGGGAAAGGGCCCCGAGATGTTGCAGCAGCAGGGGATACCAGCACTGCAGTGCACCTGATGACCGGAAATGGCCAAACAGATGCCCTGGCAAATTCCGAAAATTTGCCCAGGTATCTTTTCTGTTTTTTATATATGGTTTTTTGTTTTTTGTTTGTTTTGTTCTGCAGGTGCAACACCGTGTTCCAACCTCGAAGAAGCTCTCGGCGAATAATCGATGGTGGGCGCACTGGGTTCGTCTACCGTTCGCCAGGGTTCTCACCGCCAGGGTTCGTCTACCGTTCGCGCGGGCATGCCTTTCGCGCTGGCCTTCCCGTTCATTCGCGGGCCTGCTCTCTCCCTCTCTCTCTTCTCTCTCTTTCTCCAGTGCTTGCGCGGGAGGTATCGCGTCTAGTCACAACGGCGTGTGAGCTGGTAAACAACGCGTAAACACATTGTGCTGGCCTCCGGCCAGTGCCGCCGATCCGGGGCGCTCCGGATAATGATAATGATGCTGATGATGATGTTGATGATGACGATGGTGATGGTGATGGTGATGGTGATGGTGATGGTGATGGTGATGGTGATGGTGATGGTGATGGTGATGGTGATGGTGATGGTGATGGTGATGGTGGTGATGATGATGATGATGATGATGATGATGATGATGATGATGATGATGATGATGATGATGATGATGATGATGATGATGATGATGATGATGTTGCGGATGAATATGATGATGCTGATCATGACGATGACGATGGTGATTGTGAGAGCAGAGAACGTCGGAAGCTGGAAAAGGAAATAACCACCTGCCCACACACGTTGAACAGTTCAGAGAAAATGATCGATTTTTGCCTCTCGTGGCTTTCTTGGGGAGGTCGCGGGGCTCTCGGGGAGTCTCGAAAATTTCTCGGGCCGTATTCGGGCCATCTTGGGCATTTGGGATCGATCGTTCAGTGATTCGGGGCCGTTTTGGGTCGTCTTGCGGGCCATTCTGGGCCCTGTTGGCCCGTCTTGGGCCTTCCTTGGGCTGGACAAAGTCATGCGGGAGTATTTTTGGGGGCCCCAGGGGGCGCGCGGAGAGGCCCACGAGATTTGAGAGTTTGGGGTCCGAGCCTATGAAAGATCCACTGGCTTAAAGACTGAGGCTCAGGGGATTGAGCAAGAGACCTCGGGAAGCGTCTCGGGGCTCGTTTTGGGGCCTCTTGGGCCTTGTTTCGGGCCTCTTGGGGGCGTTCTGGATTTTCTTGGGTTTTTTGGGGGCGCCTGTTGGGGCGTCCTGGAGGCGTCTTGGAGCCTCTGGAGAACGTCGTGAAAAGAAAGACTTCGATTTTCGGTTAGAGCTCTCCCTCTTGGGCCTCTCCCCGGGGCCCTGGTGGAGCCCTCTTGGGCTGGCTTGGGCGCTTCTTGGGCCGTCTTGGCGTTCCCTGCGCCGTTTTGGGGTCGTCTTGGGAGCCTTTTGAGCTGGCTTGACGCGGTCCCGGGAGCTTGTGGGACCGTCGGAAGCGAAGCCCCCCCGCCCCCGAGCACTGCACGGCGCCCGGAAGGGCGTCCCACCCCCGCCCACTTGCAGAGCGAGCCCTCCCCCCCCCCCCAAGCTCCCGAGCACCGAATGACGTCGGGAGTGGCGTCGGGAAGGGCGTCCCCCCCCCTTGCAGAGCCCAGCTCCCGAGCACTGAATTTAGAAGGGGAAGAAACACACAGACACCATTAGTCGTCGATTCCCAGGAAAATATTAGAAAATATGGGAAGTGGGGGGGAGACAAAAACCCAGAAACTAGGAAAATATGGGGAATCCTTTTATTTGTGTGTATTTACTTGTGTCCCAGTTCCCCTTCATGAATGGCGTCGGGAATGGCGTCCCCCCCCCCCTGGCAGATCGACCCCCCCCGGCTCCCGAGCTCTGAATGGCGTCGGGAATGGCGCCCCCCCCCCCCCCTTGCAGAGAGAAGCTTGAGCGAGCTCAAGTCCACCCACGCTCTCAGAAACTCGCACGCAGGATCGGCGGGTGTGCGTACATGTTGTGCCAAGCAACACCTGCATGCCCTACGTGCGCAGCGGCGTGGGGAGATCTCGGATGCTTAGCAAGACCCGCGTGCGAGGGCAGGAGCGAGCTTCAGGTGCGAGAAGCGGGTGCTGTTGCTTGTGCATCTACAGGGTTGGGCAACCAAGTGAGCGCGCCACCTACTAATCGCTGTCGATGTCGATGCAACGGCAATTTGGCCGACTCACGGCCATTTCAGCGGATCAAAATATTTGTATACCAAGCAACACCCTGATTGTGGAGGCGTGCTGCCCATGCCTGTCCGTCGACTTTGGACAGGGATAGGCATCCTAGCTTTAGGCATAACGTGAGGATGCCGACGCCTGTCCATCGACGGGGGTGGGCATCCATGCCGGAACGTCTCCGACTTGACGCCCGCAGTGTCGGAGGCTGCAGCGTTCGCTGTGGCAGCATGGTGTGTTCGCGGTCATTGCGTGGGCCATTGCTTTCGGATGCCTAAAACTGCTCTCGTTGCGAAGGCGGGATGCCAATGCCTGTCTATCGACAGGGATAGGCGCCCAAACCAACGCGACGCCAAGTTGTGGCCGTCAGTGTCGAAGGCTGCCTCCCCAGCAACAGCGAATGACCACCACGTGGCCATTGCAACTGGTCAAAGTGTTCGTGTGCCGAGCAACGCCCTCGTTGCGAGGGCAGAATGCCCATGTCTCTCCATCGACAGGGATGTACATCCTAGCTTTTGACGACACGGGGGGTGGATGCCAACTTTTCGAGGCCATCAAGGCGCGAAAAGCGGATGCCAACTCCTGTCCATCGGCAAGGGTGAGCATCCAGGTCAGCACGGCGCCTACATGAGACCGACGCTGTCGAGGGTTGCCGTGCTCGCGGTGGCAGTGGAACCATCGAGCTGCCGCCGAAGCGGGCCTCCTGGCGCGACCTCCTTGAGGGGCCGTGCCTGGCTGGAATGTTGAAGCCAGTCAATCCTACGCCACTGTCGCCCAGCCGCTCACTGGGTATTGCCTCTTCGAGTTCAGTGAACTCTTTGTGGCGCCCCGTGGGTCCCCTGAGCATTTCCCTTTGCCCCGTATCGACTGGCGTCGGCACGCGGGTGCTGATGATGATGAGGATGAGGAGGATGATGGTGGTGATGATGATGCTGGTAATGATTTGTGAAGATGGTGATACTGGTGATGCTGCTGATGATGGTGGTGATGCTGCGGATGCTAATGATGGCGATGATGAGGATGATGACGGTGATGAACCTGATGGCGATGATGTTGCTGATGATGCTGCTGACTAGGGTGATGATTATGATGCTGGTGGTGTTGGTGGTGGTTGTGGTGGTAATGGTGATGCTGTTGCTGCTGATGAGGATGGTGATTGAGGATGGTGATGATGATGATGATGCTGGTTGGTGACCATGATTCATGGAAATGATGGTGATGCCGATGACGATGCTGATGCTTCTGATGATGATGCTCATGCTGCCGATGCTGATGCTGATTCTGCTGGTGATTCGGACGATGATCATGCTGCTGATACTGATTGGGTTGGTGATGATGTTGGTGATGGTGGTGGGCATGATGATGCTGCGGATGATGATGCTGCTGATGACGATGATGCTGATGATGATGATGCTGATGATGATGAATATGATGCTGCTGCTGCTGATGATGATGATGATTATGATGATGATTCCGATGATGATATTATGATGATGCTGATTATGCTGATGATGATGATTGCGATGCTGATTATGATTCGGATGATGATGCTGATGATGATGCTGATGATGATGATGCTGATGATGATGATGATGATGGTGATGATGATGCTGATGCTGATGATGATGCTGATGCTGATGCTGATGCTGATGCTGATGATGCCGATGCTGATGATGATGATGCTGATGATGAGGAGGAGAAGGATGAGGAGGATGATGATGATGATGCTGATGGTGATGATGATGATGCTGATGATGCTGATGATGCTGATGATGATGATGACGATGATGATGATGATAATGATGATGCTGATGATGATGATGCTGATGATGATGATGCTGATGATGCTGATGCTGATGCTGATGCTGATGCTGATGCTGAGGATGATGATGATGATGATGATGATGATGATGATGATGATGATGATGATGATGATGGTGGTGGTGACGGTGCTGATTATGATGCTGATGCTGATGCTGATCCTGATGCTGATGATGATATGATGATGATGATGATGGATGAAGGAGGAGGATCAATCTGAGGATGTGGACGAGGAGACGAGACCAGAGGAGAGGAGATGATGAGGCGGAGGAGGGACGAGGAGGATAGGATGAGGTCGAGGAGTAGAGGAGGAGGAGGAGTAGGAGGAGGATGAGGAAGTTAGCAGAGGATGAGGACGGAGGAGGAGAAGAGGCGGGTATGTTGAGGTGAGAGCGGAGGGTGAGGTTGATGAGGAGGAGGGGCGATGATGAGAGGAGGGGTGGAGGAGGATGAGGAGGAGGATGAGAGGAAGAGGGGAGGGGGAGGAGAGGGGAGGAGGGAGGAGGAGGAGGAGGAGGAGGACGAGGAGGAGGAGGAGGAATTCTATTAGTAATCATAGCAATAGTAAGATTATTACGCATACTAAGAACACGAAGACGAGGAACGATAATAAGACTGATGATAACACTAATATAAGGGTGATACTAATCGTACTAATAACGTATTACGAATACGAAGAGGAACAGTAACACGAATAATACCCGTATCAGTAACACGAAGAATACTAATACGGAGAAGGATAAGAGCAAGCCGACGACGACTAATCATAGTATGAGGAGGAGGAGGAGGAGAGAAGGAGAGGAGGGAGGAGGAGGAGGAGGAGGAGGAGGACGGGTTGACCTCCCAAGCTTGCGCGGTTCCGATGGTGGAGGTGATCTGCTGAGGCAGCTGAAGCCGAAGCTGAAGGCCTGCGGCGGCGAGTCCTTGTGCCCCTGGCGCAGGGGGAGTTTCTCTGGGCCGTCCTCGCGAAGGAGGAGGAGGAGGAGGATGAGGAGGAGGAGGATGAGGAGGAGGAGGAGGAAGAGGAGGACCAGAAGGAGGGGAAGGGGGAGGGGGAGGAGGAGGAGGAAGAAGAGGACGAGGAGGAGGAGACGGAAACGGAGACGGAGACAACGACGGAGACGGAGGAGGAGGAGGAGGAGGAGGACGATGATGTCGAGGAGGAGGAAGAGGAAGAGGAGGAGCACGATGATGATGATGATGATGCTGCTGATGCTGATGATGATGACGATGCTGAAGATGATGAGGATGCTGTTGCTGCTGCTGATGATGATGATGATGGTGATACTGATGATGATGATGGTGGTGGTGATGGTGATGATGATGATGATACTGATGATGATGATGATGATGCCGATGCTGCTGCTGCTGTTGCCGCTGCTGCTGCTGATGATGATGATGATGATCAGGATGAGGATGAGGATGATGATGAGGATGATGATACGGATGATGATGCTGATGACGATGATGATGATGCTGATGATGACGATGCTGCTGCTGATGATGATGATGATGCTGATTATGATGATGATGACGATGATGATGATGATGATGCTGATGCTGCTGATGATGATGATGATGACGACGACGATGATGATGTCGATGATGATGATGATGACGATGATGATGATGCTGATGCTGATGATGATGACGATGATGATGATTGTGATGATGATGATGATGATGATGATGATGATGATGATGCTGCTGCTGATGATGATGATGATGATGCTGACGGCGACGATTATGATGCTGATGACGATGATGATGATGATGGTACTGATGATACTGATGATGCTGATGATGATGATGATGATGATGATGATGGTGCTTATGATGATGATGCTGATGATGATTATGATGATGATTGTGATGCTGATGATTATTATGATGATGATGATGATGATGATCTGATGATGATGATGCTGCTGCTGAGGTGATGATAGATGATGATGCTGATGATGATGGATGATGATTATGCTGATGATGATGATTATGATGATTGCTGATGCTGCTGCTGCTTGATGATGATGAGATGATGACGATTATGATGATGATGATGATGCTGCTGTGGATGATGATGAATGAATGATGATGCTGATGAATATGATTTCGCGGATTGATGGCTGATGATGATGAATGATGCTGATGATGATGATGCTGATGAATGATGATTGTGGGGGAAGGGGGGGGGGCGATGCTGATGATAGATGCTGCTGATGATGATTATGCTGCTGATATGATGATGAATGATGATTGATGATGATGATGATGAGATGAAATCATGATGCTGATGATGAATGATGATGAATGATGATGATGAGATGATGATATGATGATGCTGATGATGATTATGATTATGGATGATGATGATGATGATGAATGATGATGATGATGATGGGAATGATGATGATGGAATGAGATGTCTTGGATGATGATGATGATGATGATGATGATGATGAGGATGATGATGATGATGAGGAGGATGAGGATGATGATGATATGATGATGATGATGATGCTGATGATTATGGATGAGGAGTGAGTAGGGGCGAGGACGGAGGAGTAGGAGGAGGAGGTTCGAGGAGGAGTTTGGAGTTTGGAGTTGGAGTTGGAGGAGGAGGAGAGGAGGGAGGAGGATTAGGAGGAGGAGGCTGAGGAGGCGGAGGAGGTGTTTGAGGAGGAGGAGGAGGAGGAAGAGGAGAGGAAGAGGAGGATGGAAGAGGAGGAGAAGGAGTAGGCAGAGGAGGAGGCGGAGGAGGAGGAGCAGAGAAGGCGGACGAGGCGGACGGAGGCCGCAGGAAAAGCCAATGGGAGGAGGAGGAGGAAGAGGAGGAGGAAGAAGAGGAGGAGGAGGAGGAGGAGTTGGAGGAGGAGGAGGAGGAGGAGGAGGAGGAGGAGGAGGAGGAGCAGGAGTTGGTGGAGGGAGGGAGGAGGAGGAGGGAGGAGGACACATCAGACAGCATGCTGCACCATCCGCAGCCTTTTGCGGCTCGCTCGCACCTGGGCAGAGTGTAGAATGGGTTCGTCGACCTGCAGCCGTTGGCGGAGCCTGCCACAGAAAATACTTCGCTCGGATCCCTCCTGCACCATTTTCCAGGAAGGGTAGGCGGGATGCAGGACTCCCGCCTCTTGTTGTGGAAATTTGCAACGGGCAGTTTTGGGCTGCTTTCGGCCCGCGGGGGCCCTCACGGAGTCCTGGGGCTGTCAAAAGCTGATTCGGGAAGAGAAGTCGGTCACGGGGAAGAGGTCGAGACCTCCAAGGGGTCCACGTTGTGGAAAAACACGATCTGTGGGTTCTTAGTTTTCAGCCGCAGTCGGTTTCGCCATTTCGCCAGGTCAGTTTCGCCCGTTCGGTCGGTTTCGAAGAGGCTCCTTGAGTTCCACAGGGGGGTGGCGGAGACGGGGGGGGGCGATCAAGCCGCCGCCGAGTGAGCCAAGGGGCGCTCAAAACGTAACCAAACGCGCTCAAAACACAACCAAACGTACGCGGCTGCACAACAACGCGCAACGTCCATGGAAGCTGCGATGGAGAAGGGGCACCACACGAAACCACTTCGACGCAGCGGGCCAGTTTCGCCGAGGTCGGTCTCGCCCCGTCGGTTTCGCCCGCGCTCGGTTTTGCCCGTCTGGTTTCGTCCTGTCGGTTTCGTCCGCGCGCTGCTTCGCCGTCGTCGTTCGTCGTCGTGGTCGCTTTTGTCTGCTCGTCGTCGCGGGCGGCTTAGCCATCGTCGGTTTGCCGTGGCCGTCGTCGTCGTCGTCGTCGTCGTCGTCGTCGTCGTCGTCGTTGTCGTCTTGTTTCGTCGACATTCTTTGTGGTTGTCGTCCTCTGTCGGCGTTCGTCGTCGTGGTCGGCCTTCTTCCGACCCGCCTGCCGCGTTCCGCAGCCTCTTCTGCTAGCCAGCCTTCCGCCTTCATGAACGTCCCACTGGTCCCGCCGACCCGTTTGTTAGATTCGGCCCGCCCGACCCGCTCGTACGGGTCCGCCCGCGCGACCCTCCGGTTCGGGCTTGCCCGTCCCATGTCGCCTCCATTAGCTGCGAGCAGAAGGAGGAGGAGGAGGAGGCGGATGAGGAGGAGGAGACGGAGACGGAGACGAAGACAGGAGGAGGAGGAGGAGGCGGAGGAGGAGGAGGCGGAGGAGGAGGCCGAGGAGGAGGAGGCCGTGGAGGGGGATGATGATCGCATGCTGCGGTCATACAATGAGAGTCCGTGCAACG